CATTGTATTGAAAATGAACAAACCCAATTCACAGTCTGAAAATGTTTCAGAATAGCATGCTCAGCAAGCTCCATTGCACGATAAGCTGCCTCACAGTTTATGGAAATTTAGGCTTTTGTTTGATATACGTCAGTCTCCATTGTTGTTAAATATTTACTGACACAAATGAAATGAGCTATGCAGATCTGCCTGGTTGTGTTTACAATCCATGCAGGTGTACTAACCAGGAAAACAAAAAACCTCTCACCTTTACCTTGAAGGGACTTCATACATGTGACCGTCAATCGGCTCACACTGAGGCTGTGCTGTTTGCCGTCTGCCTTTGGATTAAGCAGGCTCTAGAGACAGACGTTGGCTTTCAAGCTGTTTTAAGGTATGAATGTGCATCTGTTTTGTTACACATAAGTAATTTAGAGGTTATGGTTGTAAGTATTATGTGTCTTTGTGGTGAGGTTTTGTTTATGGAGGCACTGCCTCCATAGGAACAACAGGTGATTACCTGCTCACTTAATTTGGCTGGTAAGATGGTAGATGTTTACGCAGGGCTGGCCCGGTGAGCAAAAGAGTTTATAATTTACCTTTAATTTCTTTCAAGTTTTATGTCTCCCAATTTATGCTTTATTGAAATGATGGCCAATACAAAAGTTGGTCCTGTAATTGTATATCTACATAATGTGACAGCAACAATTGAAAAAGGTGCTGAATTTAAGATTAAAGAGTGGTTGGCAGAAAATAGAAAGTTTGACTGTTGATTGGGAAGTTCCACCTACAGCTCTATGTACCCATGTTAACCACAACACACCTGTAACATGTGTTAAGCATTGCTTGATATTAATTTAAAGATGATAAGCTGTGGACTGAAATAAGGAGTTAAACTGGAAGGGTTTTACCCACAGGCTTGAAGACATATTTTGTCAAACACAGGTGTTTAGCAGAAGTTGACATCAAAGACTTGTGCAGGGTTAGCTGTGGACAGATAGCAAGATGGCTGCCAGTGTCACCTGCAGCTTACATGCTGTGTTTATCACAATTATACTTTATGTAACTGGTGGGCACAGCCAAGTGACATTTAAGACTAAGAGAGAACTTCATATTTTTGCTTTTGAAGGAGTTGTGTGTTGGCATAGAGGAAGATGGCTGGTTAATGGTGAGAAACATGTACCGAGTAGCTTTTGAATGTCGTCTTTATTGTGGGATATGAAATGTCTTAAATTGAGCTTATGAGGATGCAAAAAATAGACAAGACCTACATTTTTCTAAATTTTTTTAAAATAGAAAACACTGTAATGGAATGTTAATCCAAACCATTATCACGGGTGTTTTATATCCTGATTCTATTGATACCGTGCAGGAGGAAAATGGTGTCAGTCTCTGCCAGTTTCAGTACATAACTTTTCAGTGTCATTGACGGTAGGATTGGCATTTAATTCAACATTTACTGTGACATGACCACTGATTGACCTCTGACTATTGTGTCATATGAAAGAAATAATGGACCAGTCATTACTTATGTTGACTCGGTCGATTATTGCAGGTTTATTTTGCCACCCTTATACAATTATGATCGACACCGGGGCTATCTGCTGCTAAGCACAAGCACATGTCTTGTACTCACATTTTCTGATGTCTCCCCCTTTTTTCGAAGATGCAGTGTAAAATATTCCCACGGAAAGCCAAACCCTGAATGGACATCACAACTGGTGACTTTCTGACATTTTGTCTTTCACTTATTTTGATAATATATGATTTTATGTGCACTATAAAAAAGTCATCCATTAACTCATTTTATTTTTCCCATTGGCCTTTGAATGGGACAATTTCAACTAAAAAAAAAAAAAAAATGCGCCTGATGGAATTTGCCTTCTTCATTACTTCAATTAATCACAATCTTTGGCATTCTTGTTCAGAAGCAATATTTAGTTTATTAAGGAATTTCTATGAATATTTCATAAGACCTTCATCAGGATTTCCAATGCATGGTGAATACTAATGTGCATGTTAAAGATTGCTGGCATGTTTCTTGTATGTTTTCAGTGGTAGAAGGTTTTTTTGCCTTATATGATGTGAAGTGTCTGGTATGGTCTCGTTCTACTTAAGTCATGTTGAAGAAAAAAATATAAGAAGAAGAATCACAATGATACTGATATTAAACACAGCTCTTTCACCACTTATCTGCTGTTTTTAATTTGAGATTTTGGTAGGGCGGAGCAGGGTGTGGTAGGGTAGAGGATTACCCCCGTGTTGACATTACGTCATATTGGTGTGAAAGATATACAACAGTTTTGATAATGCAAATGACATAAGGCTTTAGTAACAACATTGTGCAACCAAATACTACCTTCTCATAAATCCCATTCAGTGATCCTTATTTTATGGTTGGAGTAAAGCTGATATGTTATCTTCACAACAGGTGTATCGACACTGATCAAATAGGTAATAGTTTGCAGAGAGCTTTTCACTGCAAATAGAAAGGCAGATAACTTATTACTGTTATTGCCTCCTTTTCTCCTGCTATTCACTTAAAGTGAGGGGTTTAATCGTTTTATATTTTGCGTTTTTGTATTTTCATTTTCTGTTTTGTTGAAGATTCAGAAAACAGGCTTTAGTGCACTTTCACTTGCACTTTCAGTTTTTTTTTATCTTAATTACCCTTGTGTACCTGATCTTATGCAGTCAAAACACTGTGCTTTGGAGACTGTTGGTGAAGACTTGGGTTGTAAATTATACATGTAATCTTTAGATTTGATGTTATTGTTATTATTGCGGGAATTACAGTTTTATATGATGGATATCTTTGTAAAATCTAATTGCTTTAACTTGGTAAAAAAGTTGGCCCTTTTAATTGTTCCTTTTTTAATTTGGCAATCTGAAAGCTCTCCACTTCTGTCTCTCGCCTTTCCTGGCTGCGATATCTTACGAACAGCAGCAGTTGTCTCTAAATAATGAAATACATCCATTGCAAGCAGATTTTCGAAGTTTTTAACAACAGTTTGGAAGGTGATAATTTAATCTTGTTTCCTTAGAGCATAGATGTATGGAAAAATGTTATTGTACAATGCCTGCATGTGGAGTTTGCTATTTTCATTTGTAATTGTTATCCATGTTTTGTCAAGACAGTCCATCTTTGTTGGGCCCTGGGCTTTGGATTAGTATGTGTTCCGCAAGTGTCAACTTGCTTTCATAGGTAATCAATAGAAAGCTGTCATTGGAATGTGGATCAATAAGCATTACAGTAGACAGGCATGCACTTATTCGCGCAAATGTCTGCAATTTCATGTAATGGCACATTCTGATAGACCCGTGTTTTTCTGTACTAGGTAAGTGATTGTGTAGGACAGTTTTTATAACTTCATTGAAAAGTGCGCGGACATATTTGTCGTTTGCTAGTTTAGGAGATGGTTCTTCATTAGTTTACCTTTAAATGAACAATGGTTACTATCAGATACATATTTCACACCATTCGCTGTTTGTAGGTAGTTCATATTTATTGTACATTGCTGTTATTCATTGATTGTGCTAATGATTTCAAGCTATGCCCTTATTAAAAAAATAACAAAAGTGGTGATATTTTTCATTGATGGTGCTTATAATTGTAAATTCCACAGCTATGCTCTTATTTAAAACAAGTGATGTTACTGGTGCTTATTTCCTTTATGTCAACTTTTTACCTGTTTCTTTAGGTAAACTTTATTGATGCTATTGATGGGAGCATGATGACCTGTCCACAGACTGGTGTCAAGTTAGGATGCTGCTAAATATAGCACCTGTTTTCACCTGTGCTTGGTGATTAAGACCATTGTTTTGATTAAACGTGTTGACCTATTGACCTTGACATTTTTCTAGAATGGTGCATTGTTGGTTTGATTCAAATTTATGGTTTGTGTTGATGTTTTGTATTGGTTTTTGTTCTGGACGATAAAACCTTGATTATTATGAAACATCAGTAGTATATTTTCTTGATTTAAAAAAAATCTTTAACTGCCATGCTCTATTTTTTTCTTTTCTTTAATCCAAAAATGTACTCGGCAAATACCCATTGCAATGATTTACTTCCCCTCCTTATGTAACACCCTGTTTTTAACAGACATGGTAGATGACACCATTTGATTTATGAGGCCCTCAGGGTTATAGCAAGTGGTATCAAAGGGTGAGCCCTTTTTTTTTTCTGAAAAAGTGGAACTTTTTACCACAACCTAAATCAAATTTTAACTCAGGATGGACCTTTCTCATACCCCCTCCCCCTGCCTACCGACCTGTTACTGGTGATACATATATGAGGAAAACATCACAGACAAGCCTCTGACACCCAGGGTACAGTGAAATTAATCAGAGAATGCTCAAACAGGTTCTCCTTTAACCTGAGAAAACTCTGACACCGTATAGTACCAGCATTTGAGATATGGTGCACTTTCCGGCAGAGACAAAGATTACAAAATATTTATTGTATCGATGACATTGTCACTGACAGAAGTTAATTGAAAATGATGACTTTTTTACATGTAGCCTTAAAGCCGTAGGAGGTACAATTTTTTGGTTTTAGAAATGGGTTTGGATGTAGTAAACAGAATGGTCTTGTATTTGGAAAGGGAGTAACATTCTTCTGCTTGGAATGCATTTTGCAATTTGAATATAACTCAAACAGCAGTTTTACATTCTTTGGCTTTATTGATGAGTTAAGGGTATCACCAGATATATCTCTTTCCTATATTGTAAGGAATTTTGATGGAATATCTATAAATGAATCAAAATTTGACATGAATTCCACAGCAGATGTTACTTGCTCTGCCATGAAATCACTTCTAACTTATTAATTTATTTAGGCAGATAGAATTATTACATGGTGGTACATATTTATCATTTCCATTCTTCTCAATAGATTTTTTTTCAGCACAAGATACTTTAGATAACAGATGTTTGATGCCATCCAGATAGGTGAATGCTACATGAAATTTAAAAAAAAACACCACCATATTTAGATATATTAACTTTTATTTTTGCAGGACAACTTGAACGTGTTCTTGGAAGCTTGTGAAGAACAAGTTGGACTGAAAAATTCACAACTCTTCAACCCCAGTGAGCTTCAAGATTTGTCCACAAGAGCAATTGCTGAGTAAGTCAATACCTAAAGATGAATATTGTAATCATGATTGTAGATCAATACATACTACAATCTTATGGTCTTCACTCAAAGTGTCCATTGGTTCTGGTTGTTGATGTTAGTTCCTTGAATGGCAAGTTTCGTTTCTATTTGAGGAGAGCTATCCCAGTACTAGTACAGCAGGCTCTATGATGACGATGATTTCGCCATAAGTATACATTCTAAGGGCCTATTCAAGAAAACAATAATGTCGACCTAGCTTGTGCTCCATGAACTCCATGAAGACATTCACTGATTGCAATCAGCTTAACAGACAAACACGCCCCCTATTGTTTGAACCTACTCATATAATTAACAGCTTATTTGTATTCTACTAAATACCAAGAGGAGGTGCATTAGTCTGTCAATCTGATTACATTCAGCAAGAGTCCCCGTGGAGTAAGTTTGCATTAGTTAGGTCAACTTGACTCATTCTGAACAGTCCCTAATCCACAGTTTCATCCTATTCTGGTAGTATTCCGGAAGTTGTATGTCATTGGATTGGTTTCGTTCGGTGAAATGATCTTAATAAAATGCCCTAAT